AAAACTGCTATTGAAAGTTATATTTTGCTATCATATCTAATTACTAGCGGTGGCGGCTAGAAAACAACGATCTCAATCTTTCAAAAAAAAAAAATATAAAGGTAATAACCCACTAAAATTTTTTGAACAACAGATTTACAACAAATTTCTTCAAACAACTACAATCACCCCAAACAAACCCTGAATAATTATTATTTTTTGCATACCAAATACAACAAACAATACAATAACAAAGCCTTAATCCCACTACGTGGGGTCGACTACATGAATCCTTTTTCTCCATTGTGTCCTATTTAGTGTCATATTTTCATTTAGTTCTAGTAAATTAAGATCATTTTTAATACAATAAGCCCAAGTCTTCCTAGGTCTACCTCTGCCTTTCTTAACACAAGTCGAATTTAAAACATCTACTCTCCTAATCGGATCATCTAATGGTCGACGTTTAATATGACCAAACCATCTAAGGCGACTTTCTCTAATTTTGTCTGTCACAGGAGCTACACCAACCCTATCACGAATATATTCATTCCGCATTTTGTCTCTAAGTGTAAAGCCACTCATCCACCTAATCATTCTCATCTCGGCAACACTTAACTTATTATTATGCTTCTCTTTTAAAGGCCAACATTCAGCGCCATAGAGCATTGCAGGCCTCACCACCGTTTTATAAAATTTTCCTTTCAGTCTTAGCGGTACTTTTCTATAATAGGGCTTTTCTGCTATCCCTTCTGTTGATTGGTCACTCCCTATGAAGTATAGACACGACATGATACAATATGACGACACGACATAATTGAAAAAAATAGGACACGATACAACATAAACATGTTTTTCTATATTTAATAAATTATTATTATAAATATATATTTTTAATATTTTCTATTAAAGTTATCACAAAACGACAAATGCGGTCATCAATAAAACTTTATAATTATAAAATTTGTTTTTGACAATATCAAAATTACATTCAAAATAGCAAAAAAATTATCAAAATACTTGATACCAATTTCATCCATAATAAAGTGAAGCAAAACATAGCAAAATGTCAAAATATAATAACATAATTATCACTAATTGAAGTAATGCATTTGGTATTAGTGCCATCATTTGTGCTAGCTCCATTGCCTTCATCAATAACACATTCACCTTCATCAACAAAAAATACTGTTTCTAAGCATGACTAATCAAGAGAAAGATTAGCAACTTCAAGGATTCCAATATCCTCCATTATATCTAAGACAACTTCACCAACATCTCATAATTTTGTGTCCCCCTGAGAATATTCTAGGCTCTTCCTAGACCTAAGACAAAGATTAGTATGAACAAATACCAAATCTTCACCTCGCTGCGGAGTAATTTGTTCCTCTTAAGTGAATTGATAAAATAATATGTGCTCCAGTTTCTTTCGCAACAAGAAGATGAACACGATTAAGCCAAGAATTTGAAAGCTAAATTTTGCAGCTGTGGGGAACTTGCTTCATAAATCATCCGCCATGCCTTTCCATCCATAATAGGTCTAGAAGCTATGGAGTCATGATCAACAAAAACACCTCTAAATCCAATAAATTAGAAAACTCCAAATTAACAATATATCTTTCTTCAATGTTTGGGAAAATCATTTTTAAGCATTTATTTCTCAATTGATATCTCCATTTCCTTATTTGGAGCTTCACTTAGCCAAGCACGACTAAAATACCTAATAAAAAACACATTTATAAGTGACAAAATTAATATAAGTTAGGATTAATAATGAATAAATATCAAGTCAAATAATACCTTGAATTGAGAGAGTGAGCTAGACAGTGAAGAGTGTTGTTTTTATTTCATCTTTCTATTAAAATCTCATGTACAACTTTATAAAAATTAGAGTCTTCACTATCTCTCTTTCCCTCATGTCGATATATAATACATTTCACCTTTTCTATCATAGAATACCATATATTGTAGACAAGGTAGAAACAATGTTTATCTGTATCAGCCAATCTTAACATGTCGCTCACAAGTTCTGTAAAATCAATAACATAATTAATTTTATCCCACCATACATCATTGAAGATTTTTTTGCTTCACAAAATTTTGCCTTGTTTATATCATTATCACGATATATATTCCACTTATTATTGATCACCATTATTTGTAGACCTGGTTTTATTGCTTTGAATCTCGTAAGCATGATTATACTTGATGCAACATGGGTCTCTGCAATGACCAACATTTTCAGCTTTATAAAGTCATTAAATATTGATAATATCATTGATTGATTCATAATAAATGTTTTTATAAAATTTATATCTCCTATAATGTCAATTATACAGCTGCATTGCTCCATAAGTTGTTTCATTTCCTTATATATTTTTTGGAGCACATTTATTCTTCAATGCTAAGTTCAATATATGAACAACACAAGGATCCAAAAAAGATGAGAATATTGGGCCTCAATCAATGCTCCTGCAACTCTGCACATGTATTATCAGTGATTATTTAAACCACTTTATTTGAACCTATGCCGCAATTACTTATTTAATTTCATTAGCAATGTAGAACTTATCTTTATATGCTTCTTCAAAGTTAATAGATTTTATAAATATTAGTCCAGATTCTGTGACGCCGTAGAAATTTAAGAGAGGCATTCTTTGCGCATCTGTCCAACTATCACAAACTATGATTACTCATTTCTCATTCCAGTCTCTTTTATAGGCTCAAGCAGTCTCAAACATGTGTTCTCTCTCTTTGAAGCAAGTTTGTTCTTAATAAATTATAACCAGGAGGAATATATCCATGGAATGTGTTGTTAGCTGCATATGAGAACACACTAAAATAATATGGATTTATTGCCTAATGAAATGAAAGAGCCGCAAAGTAAAACATTCGAGCAATTTCTTCCTGCAAGATCTCAGGCTTGCAAATTAAATGCTTTTTATAGCAGACATTTTCTTTTCTTATGATTGATCTCAGGCTTGCAAATTAAATGCTTTTTATAGCACTATTATCCGACGTTTTCTTTTCTTATGATTATAATCATAACCTTCGGCTCTAAATGAATGCCCACTTACCTGAGAGCTGCACTACTGATTAGAACCACTTTGCCTGGGCCCGAAAGAAGGCTATTGAACCATCTTAAATGCATCATTCTTCTTTTTCCACTCTGCATCAGCATCTAACTTCTGCAGTTCTTAAATTTACGTTAAAATCATTTTAGAACATACTCAAATTCCAACTCAGATTGTCGAAGCAAGTATGCTCTAGAATATGTTCCCTTAAATTTTCCATGACAAAAATGACCTGAAATTCTATGCTGCCTGCTGCTCCAATTGTTCCCATTTCCTCCAATTTTGTGACATATGCCTATAAAGGCTTTGTCTCATCCTCAATGAGATTGTTAGAGATACTAGTAGTTAGCATTATCCTATTTATCAATTGCAGAAAATATAAACATTTAAAATTCACACATATATATAATAATTAGTAAAAGGATGGTGGGGGAATTTTCATATACAATTCAATCAGAGTTTTTCATAGTAATTGCATGTGGAAGGAAAAAAAATGCAAGTGGCCTATTTATTTAGTTATTATAGTACATATATATATATATATAAATCATAAAAATCATAAAATTGGGAAATTTACGTACATACCACCCAATTCTTATGAATTAACATCCATAACACCTAAACTTCAATTATTACATACAGGCCACATTACCTATGAATAAAAAATGTGTATTCCTCTGTTAAACGTCAAAATGGAAGTGTTTTTGATGTGAAGTGAAGGATTTGGGTGGTATGCATGTAAATGCTCCAAAATTAAAAAGAAAACAAAAACTTTTCTGTCTACTGTTAAAAAAAAAATATTTCGAAAAGAAAACCGCACTTACCGCACACGTGGATGGGTACTGGCTCCAATCGCCTCTCTTAGGATCGTCCTTAACTGAGCGTCGAAGCTCTGGATCGCGAGGCAACTCGATTATGAGGCGACTCCGTGACGACGAAGCGACGCTCGAAGCTCTGGATCGTGAGGCAACTTGTTCAATGACGCTAGAAGCTTTGCATCGCGAGGCAAAGTGATGCTCGAAGCTTTGTATTGCAAGGTAACTCGATCAGTGACGCTCGACGAGGACGTTGCTTGCTTCGACAGGCTGCTGCGAGGCTTTGGTAGGACCTAAGCACATTCAAACATGGATGCTTTGTATTCCGCTTCACCCCTCGGCTTTTATTTCCCGTGTCTGCGTTTGGTGTCGAGCGGTGTTCCTTCCGTGGGCGTGACCGGGAAGGCAGAAGTGTTGACACTTTTATTAAGTGTCGAACACGGTATCGACCAATGTCGGAGACGTGTCCGTGTTCCAAAGTGTCAGACACGTGTACGGCTTCTATTTGGGAGTGTCGATGCTTTCATAGGTCACTCCCTATTTGTACTAGTGAGAAGATTCTTCTCCCTGTCGCTCTCGACCCTTGCTTCCATCATTTTGTAACATTTTTTCATCTATTTTTCTTAATAATTTTTTCTTAGGCTCTTCCTTTACAATGAATTCTTCCTCTCTAAAAAATTAAGCCGTCAGAAGTCCACCAAAACCTTCCTTCATCAAAAAGTGTAGTAGTTTTGAACTCCCTCTTGTAACGGTTCTATGATAACCATTTATTTGATCTCAATGTATAATCTTTTCCCAAGCAAATGATCCCACAGTAATATTTGCATTTCCTAACAGGCTAATGCACCAAGAAGAGCAAGTGTAGTAGTTTTGAACTCCCTTTTGTAACAGTTCTATGATAGCCCTTTATTTGATCTCAATGTATAATCTTTTCCCAAGCAAATGATCCCACAGTTATATTTGCATTTTCTAACAGGCTAATGCACAAGAAGAGCAACTTATTGAGCATCTAAGATATATATTTTATTTATTGATCATTTGCAGTTATGCGTGTTTGTTCCTTTTAAATTTTTTTAAGCATTTCCTTAATCCCAAAACACATGATTCAATATTCTACTCATAAATGTATTTTCAGAAAATTCATGGTTCTGAAAGGGGCGAAGCAGCTGCCTTGCTTCTTTCACCGAGGAGACCTTCATCAGTATCTGATGTCGATGTTGCAACTTCCGGAAGTCAGTTTACATACTTTCTTACTGCTCCACTGCTTGCTTTTATCCAACTAGTGGGACTTAAGTCAGACATTGATGTTGTAAGTTGACTTGACCACTTTGTTTTCCATTTTGAAGGTTTAGAATGCCTTATTTGATATGTATATAGGATTGTTCAGGATGTATGTAGCAGTGCAGAGTCCATTCTTTCATCGGCCATAGCTGAGTGGGAAGTAATTCTCTGCACGTCAGAAAGCCTGGATCAGGTTTGGGCTCAAGTTCTACCAGATCCTTTTCTTAGGCGGCTGATCCTTAGGTACATAAATGCATAATGTTTCTCTAAATCCAAGTTCTTTTTCTCGAGTTACTTAAATAATTAAAGTTTAGATTAATTAAATCGTAATCGTAATATCATTAAAAAAAATCCAACCTTAAGGCCTCGAGTTAATGGCCTAGCACATATGGTTGGATATCTGAGTAAAAAAATTAATGATGAAACCTGTGGAGAAATAAATTTATGGAATTCTAGGTTTTCTTTTTACCATCTTTTATTGTAACAGCTTCAAGTTAAAATAATAATAATAAAAAAAATTATTAGTCTTGTTATATCCCTTGAATTAATGAAACTCCTGATGCGGTGGCTAGTTTTTCTGATGGCCTGTGGTTGTGGGTTGTTTTATGTGGCTGAGGGTTGCGGTACCATAGCAATTTTCTGCAGCATTATTGTTCCTTGGGGGTTAAAGAAGGCTTTTTTTTTTTGAGGGGATTACCCCCCTTGTATTGAAGTGCTGGTCGCAGGTTCCACAGCTTTTCAGTGAGTACCAAACAATATGGTGGCATGCATTCAGGGGGTTGTATATGCAGTTCTTGCAGGCGTCTTTACCATTGGCTTCGCTTGCGCGGACTTTTTAAGCATAAAAGTGCTTCTTCAGTACAAGTTTCTTGGGATATTTAAATTTTGAAGTTATAAATCTGAAATTTTTATTAAGTTTGAGCGCGTGCCAACTTTGTTTGTTAGTCTAGGATATATAAGGAGTCCACATATAGTAGTCTGAGGCTTGTAATTCATAATTTTTGGTTTGGAAAGACCTTTTTTTTAGTTTTTAATCTGCTGTCTATAAGTTGATGTGTGATTCTTTTTAGGGGTTTTCACACACCTACGACCTGAAACATAATGAGTTAAATCTCAAACATCTAAACTTTAACATTTACTGACCACCCAAAATACATCTCTCTCTCATATTTACCACTCTCCGTAACTACTTGAAACTCTCTGTAACTACTTGAAGAAGGATCACAGCTCCGCTATCCGTCTTGGCTGCAGATGCCTGCTGAAGCCGAAACATGCCTTTGCCTTTGGGCATGTTGCTGCTGATCCATGTCCTCATGGCCGACCACTGAAGCCCAAGATCCCCTCACTGCTGCCATCACGAAGGAAACTAGTTTACTTATACAAATTATTATCTTCTCCTCCACCTGTGATGCTGCACGTGGCTGCTGTTTTTTGATTGCTCGATCTCTAAATCTCAGAAACCAGGGGAGTTAGTTAAGTTCACAGGATTGCCACTAAGGCAAAGCAGACGGTGATGCGACTGCCTGGATCGAAGGAGAACCAAGTAGCTGCTGCGGCGTGGGGTTTGGAGGTGGTTGACCTCAGCTTAGGAGGGGAAACGGGTTGGGTTGTGAGTGGACAAGCTGGACTCGCTTCCGGAGGCGAGAGAGAAGATGTAGATGCTCGGTGAGGCCGCTGGGAGGTGGTCCTTGGGTAGCAGCAGGTGAACAGGCTGTGTTGTTTTTTTCTTCCTCTTCCTGGAAAGCAGGAACCTGAAAATTCCTCTCCTAGAAAACAGGGACACGAAAAGTCCGAACTATTAAAAATGAATCTTTGGCTGCGATGAGAAGGATCATCGCTGGCAGTGTTTCCAGGGGTTAATGCTGAGTGAGCATTGCATGCAAGAGAAACTAAGCGGACGACAATAATGGAGAGTGGCAAATAGAGGGACGTGTTGGTTTTGGGTGGTTAGTTTCTAAATATTAAAGTTTAAGTTTTTGGGATGCAAATCATTATGTTTTAGGTGACATGTATATAAAAATCCTTCTTTTAAATACTATATAAATATGACGACACGATTCCATCAGAAATCATCTTCTTATATTGACCTAGCGCTGATTATTCTTTATTTGGTAATATTGTTAGTTATTTTTTTCTGATAATTTGTAATTTGCTAAATTATTGCTCTTGATATTCATAAAAGATGATGTCAGATTTCAGTTAGAGAAAACTTTTTTGCTTATTGAATTTATTTGTTTTCAAATACTTGCTAAATTTTTTGAAATTTTGTGATCCTTTCATTTATCAATTGGGCTTTAAGGTTTACTAATTTACTATGGTCTGTCTAACTTAAATAAAGTGCGTTGTTGTGTTGATTTGTTCTTAATTTTCCTTTTGATGAAGGCATTATGCATTATATTAGCTGTATTTGGAAACCATAATCCCGGAGTCTCGGAGTCTCCCTCATGAAACTCTGCCAAAGGGCAATGATGCATAGACCAAGAGAAGTAAAATCATTTCATATTTTTGTTCTTTTTTTTTTCTATTGGATATGTATTTTGGGAAAAGCCTTGAATTAGTAATGCTTATTTTTTAACTGTAATGATATCGGAGTTAATCCGAACAACAACTGTGTCAAGTTTTAGAGAATAGATCTTCATACTTTTATTGATAGGAAGAGAAGTATAAATACGTATTACAAGATCCCAATAAAGGAAAGATATAAATTCAGAAATAGATCTACTGGGAAATACTTAAATATGGAAACAAAAATAAAGGAAGTAAATAAAATTGAATAAAAGTTATTAATAACTACAACATTAATTATCTAAGAATTCTTATACTCTCCCTCAAGTTGAAGCATATATGTCCATCATTTTCAATTTGGATTTGAAGTCGTCAAACACTGGCTGAGGAAGATTCGTGATAAGGATATTTGCTATTTGATCATTAGATGGGACAAATAGAATGCAAATCTCCTCTGAATTGAGCTTCTACTTAATGAAGTGTCTGTCAATCTTCACAAATTTGGTCCGATCATGCTGGATTGGATTATGGGTAATACCAATTGACTGCTTTATATCACAAAACAGCTGAAGAGGAGCAGAGGTTGACATACACAATTTACTGAGTATGATGCGTAACTAGAGAGCTTCACAGATACCCAATGACATGAGCAAAACTCAGCTTCAGCATTGCTCCAGACAACAACTGATTATTTTTTGTTTTTCCATGTGTTAAGATTTCCTCACATGAATGAGCAAATATCTCGAGTGAATCGTCGATCTTGGACATATTCGGCCCAATCCGCATCTGGATAAACAATAATAGAATAAGAAGTGTGGCGCGAGAAAAAAAAATTTAACCTGGCATGCCTTTTAGGTAGTGAATGATCATGTGGACGGACAACTCTAGGATGGTGCTCAGAGGGATCGTGCATGAGTTGACTCACAATAACTACTTCGTGAAAAATGTCGGGATTGGTATGGATGAGGTAAATGGGTTTCTTCACAAGCCGTTGACAGTGAGTTTTTTTCATCGAAACCACATTGGAAACATCAACTAATTTTTCATTGGGATTCATTGGGACAACCACTCATCATATAATTTTTCACTGGGATTCATTGGGACAACCACTGATCATATAATTTTTCACTGGAGGAAAGTCGAAAGAAAAAAGTATTCTGATAGGCCCGGTGAAAAACTGTGGCCCATTATTATCTTTGTAAACTTGCCGAACCGAACCTTTAGGGATTGTTTCAGTCCGTAGAGGGACTTCCACAGTTGGCACATCTGTCTCTAGGGAACAATAAAGTTAATAAAGCCTGGAGGGAGTCTATGTACATCTTCTCTGTGAGATCCCCATTTAGGAAAGTATATTTGGCATTCAATTGGAGCAAAGACCAGTCCAAATTTACAGCAAGGGAAAGTAGGACCCGAATGGTGTTTAATTTAGCAACCGGAGCAAAAGTCTCCTCATAATCAACTTCGTATGTTTGTGAGTAGCCTTTGGCGACCAATCGTGACTTATTGCGTTCAAAGTATCAATCGGAGTTAAACTTAGAGCTAAAAATCCAGTGCCACCCTACTGCTTTCTTATTTGTGGGAAGATTCACAACATCTCTTGTATGATTCTTCCAAGGGGCATTCATTTCATCCATTACTGTAGCTTTCCAGAAATGATCAACTAATACTGCATCAATAGTGGACGGGAGGTGATGATTTGTCACGTCAGCAACAAATACTTTATAGGTCGGCAATACACTGTGAAAAGATATATTTTTCCATGGAATAAAGAGAGCATGCTTGATTACATGCCTCAACAGGATAATTGGTGTCACTCGGAGCAGCTTCTAGGTCTTGTAAAGTGGTAGCAGGCTCCAATGTGGGATCATGAGTGTGCCGAGTATAGACATGGTTAATGAGAGGAGGTTCTGAATTTTTGGTAGGTGGTGGACAATGTAGTCATGGAATGCATCATATTACGGATGAGAAGGTTTTGTTGAATGATGAGGATGAACATATTGCCATAGGCATCATATTCTCCTTTATAGTAGTATTAGGGAGAAGCAGATTAGGCTCTGAAGCTAAAAAATAGGGCGGCCAAATGTTTATGTTTTGGTTAAGGATGGGTTGGGTTGTGTTTATTTTAAGTGGGGCTGGGTGGGTTAGAGTCAATTTGTGTGTTGAAATGAGTTAGTTAAGAGAGGCCGGTAACTTAAGAAGATGGGGGGATGGATGGTGTGAGAATTAAGAATGCTTAATATATGGCGGAGCTTTGATTATAATAGGGAAGGATTAAGACTAGAAGGAATAAATTAGGCAAGTAGAGGATATGGGTTTGGGAGATTGTTTGGGTTTGGTTTATTTAAAGTGGAGATGGGTGTATTAGAGTTGATTTTTGTTTTGGAATGGCTTAGTTAAGGGGGGTTGGCTTTTTGCTAGAGGAGATGGGAGGTGAATGGTGTGAAAATTAAGAATGTTTAATATATAGCTGAGCTTTGGTTTTAGGGACGATTAAGATTAGAAAAATAAATAAGGCTAATTAGAGGGGTGGCTTTAGAAAATGGGTTGGGCTGAGGTTTATTTTGATTGGAAGTGGGTGGTTTAGATTTTTTTTTTTTTTGGGAAATGGCCAGTGAAGGGTGTTGGCCAAGTAGAGATGGAGGATGAATGCTGTGGTAATTTAGAGTGTTTCATATATGGTGTAGTTTTGGTTTTAGGGAAGGATTGAGATAAATAAGGATTAGAGGTGATGGGAGATGAATGATGTGGCAATTAATAATCTTTAATATATTGTAGAGCTTTGTTTAGTGTGGAAATTAACAATTTTTAATATGTTTTAGAGATTTGGTTTTGAGGAAGCATAATGATTACAAGGAATATAAAAGGTTTCGTTTGGATGGGAACGAAATGGATGAAGGGGCAATGAATTGCCTTCAGGAATCAAAAGAGATGAAGAAGCTGATCAAAGCAACTTGTAGGGTGGAAATGTACCTATATGGAGTTTGTTGTAGGGAATGTACTCTTCTTACTTAGTGGTGTGCAGTGGAACAGTGAGGCTTAATGTTTGCGGATTCTACTCAACTCATGTTGATCCCTCTCTAACCTAGTTCCAGCTGATCCGATCATCTTAAAGCCAATTGTTGATTTGTATGTGTTGTTGGGATACCTATCGTGGTCCATGTTGTTTTTTTGGGTCCTAAGTGAATGGTTTTACAAATAAAGCCTGTTCGGCAAAATCAAGCTGAATTTGCTTGTTAATTTTGATTATGATTTAAAATTGCACAATTAGAGGTGCACCTCAAGGCTTGCTTTGACACACACACACACACTGGGGGTGAGGCGCACCTTAAGGCATTGCCACAATCAAATTTTCATGAGTTGTAAGCCTAAATAATTAGGTTTAATTTTAATTTTTAAAAAAAATATTTAAAATTAAAATTTCATAGTATACACCTAAATCAAACCGAACTTGAGGAGAGCTGCTGCACGATTTCAAGCTTGCAGTCTCATCTTGTAGGAAAGTTCTGTACCCTATCCTGCTTCTTAGCCTCAGCCCTGCTCCTGCTTCTCCAACGCCTCTTGTTTTTCATCACTTATCTTCTTGTTTTTAGGATGGGGGAGGAGATAAAGCGATCAAATATCGACACTGCAAGTTTGCAGTGTCATGTTGTAGGAAAATTCTGTACCCGATCCTGCTGATTAGCTGTTCTGCTCCTGCTTCTCCAACTCCTCTTGTTTTCCATCACTTATCTTCTTGTTTTTAGGATGGGGGAGGAGAAAAAGCGATTAAATATAGAGTCACTATAACAGCTGTTATAACAAAATGCCAATAATGTAACACAAGCGAAATAACCCCGAAAGCAGGATAAAAGTATATTTTTAGTTTTTATATGTGGTTAAATTTCTATAGTCCATGCTTTGCATTTTTAATGTTGATGGCTTGTTAGAAAAAATGAACAAGTGAAATTTGGTTGGATATAGTTTAAATTTCAAACTTCATGAGCCTCTCGAAACTTTCTCAAAGCAATGATTTCATTTTCATGTTCAATAGTGAGTGAAAATAAAATCATTATTTTTTAAAATAGATTTTGATTTACAAATGTGCTCTAAAGTAACTATTACACTTATGCTAAGTTGCCAGAAAATCTCTTGCTTGATTTTATCCCTTCTAAGTTTTATGTGAATGTAATGCTCACTCTATATTTAGAGCAAACCAAATGGATATAGAGTCAATAAATTTGGCCATTTATATGTGCTGTACTCAGCTACGTCATGACATAAGCATATTAAAAAACCACATCGTATTATTTGTGCTTTCATATCTAATGTTGGCTTCTGATTAGGTTTATATTCTGCCGGGCTGCACTTTCTCTCCTTGGCACACCTAGGAAGGAGAGTGGGCATTTACCTGATTGCCTGCCAAGCCTCCCAGAGGCTGTCTCTCCAGAGTCACTATCAATTCAATCACACATTTTGAAGCTCACGGAGACCCTTGGGGTTATTAACCATTTTGAATTCTCTGATGATATAAAGGGCTCAGCTCACAGAAGATGATTAGTATTAAATATATTCCCACCTGTTGATATATAGCATCATGGGAGTTCACCGATTTAAAACTTTTGTTGATTACATTTCGCGCAGATGCAGAGGTGGGGGCTATGATCCGTATGTTCTGCTGTGGTTGAGATGGAAGAAACCAACCAACTGCTGTCATGTAATGAAGATGGCTGCCAGATTGTATTATTCTTTTTACATCTCTCAATTTTTGACTCTCCGAAAGAGACGTTTGTTTCAGATATGGAGGCCCTCACTGAAATGATTAGCTTAGTTGCTATGTAATTATGCTGTAGCGTCGATATACATTATTTATTAGGAGGGATGTCCGCGGCATCATCATGGCTCACATTCGTATCATTGACAATTCAGGATTGTGTAATCAGAGGGAGAGGTTGAAAAAAATCTGAGAAAAAAATTATTTCCTTTATCTCAGCTATCGGTATTCCTTTGTCAGATTTTTTTTTTCTTTTATCTTTCTGTTTGCATGTAAATATTAATTTATGCAACATCTACTTGATGCTTTTTTCTCCCTAGGGCTGCAGATGAAGGGCGTCGTCGCTTTAACTTGCAAGTGGTTTTTATGTCCTATTGATGTTGTGTCATCAACGTAGCACTTAGGCGTCGAGCATTTGAATCTTTTTTATGTAATTAATTTTCTTGCTGTTCTCATGTAATGCATGGGGGAAGACCATTTTTTTTTTTTTTTTGTTTTTCTTGGGGAGAATTTTCATATTGATGTTATGTTATCACTTTTTTTTATTTAAGAAGCGTAGTGTTTTGGTCTATATCTGCTGTAGTGTAGTATGAAAATCTTCTGGGATTAAATAGCTGATCTTGATAAAAGGTTTGCAGATTCCAACAACAACAATACCAAGCTTTTATCCCATTAAAAAGGGCCGGCCGATTCCGTTTGATGAAATTTGCTTAGTAATTATTGGATACTAACTGGAACATGAACGGCCTTAAATTTATTGATGTGCTGAAAAAAATTCATGACCGACTCATTTGTTTTTTTGGACAAATCAGATATGAACAGAAAAAAAAAATCTGTTGTATCTACAATTTTCATTTTTTCTTTTGATTGATACAAATTGTTTGACAATTTAATTGTCTTTTTAGAAAATTTAAACTTATTACTCAATTTTAAAAATTTACGAGCATTAAAACTGGAATGTGGGTGGTACATGACAATTTATAGCACTTCTTTATAGGGCTGTCAAAAAAGCTCGTTGTTCGCAAACAGTTCGTGTTCGATTCACCAGAGCATTCGTGTTCGATTTGTTCGATAAGCAAACAAGAATTTATGATATTTTTAAAATTATTATATACTCAAAAAAATTAATATATTTTAAAATTTAAAACCTGTAAATTATAATGTAAAATAAATTATTAATAATAATACATTTACATACTATCTAAACTCTAATAATATAGGCATTATATATTTATATAATATAAGTATATAATTATTATAATATATTATATTATTATTTTTATATTATAATATACAAAGGAAATGAAAGAGCGGAACCCTAACCCCCTGTTTTCACCTCACACCGCTCTCCTCTCACGCGATCTCACGGAAGCACGAAATGGGCTGCTCCTTCGCTCAAGATCATGGAAAGCTCGCCGTTCTCCTCTCACGGAAGCCCGAGACCGCAACTGATCTTTCTTCTCCTGCTACTCCTCTCAAGATCGAGAACCATCTTCTTCTATCAAAATCGCAAAAAGCTTCTCTCGGTGAGAACTTGTCTCAAAGTTGCGAAAATCTTTATCTCGGTGAGAGCTTAGATTTGATTTTTTGTGTTCGTTCTCTAATCTCTACTTCTATTTTTCTTTGATAAAAGGTATTTTTTTTCGGTGAGTCGGCGTTGGATCAACCCGGTATTCTTGCTTCGGTGTTCGTTACTTCGGTTGCTCAGTATTGTTCTTTTATGAGTTAATTTTTGTATTATTATTATTTTTTGACATAAAAAGTATGTCAGATTATTTAGTTTGGAGAAATGTAAATACATAAGAACTATGTGTTAGGTATGTAAAAACAACCCTAAGTTCATGCAATAACATTGTATTACCTTATTGCATGTGTTAGAATTTTTGCCAAAAAAATACACTATTTTGGAGTGGAGTTTGATGGGGAATCTTATGGATCTTGTTGTATGTTTGGACTATGTATTTTCTAAGCAATTATCTGTGGATCTAATGATGTTTGTTATGCTCTTTTATGATTGTTTTGCTGATCTGAACAAATTATGTACTTTGTGGCTTTTTGCTTCGAAAGATCTTTAGGCTGAATATTTTCTAATTTTTTTTGAGCTACAGGGATTCTATTGAATCTCTTGAGCTGAATTTTTGATTCAGTAAATTATGAGTAAAACTTGATTTGAGAGATTTATGCATCTTCTATCTTTATTGATTTGAATGATTTAGGCCGAATCTTCTTAAATGACAAGCTAGGTTTAGCTAAGGCTCTTTTTGGTAACGGATTTAATAATTTCTGTAAATTTTGATTTGCAGAGTTCTTCCAACACCAGGATCTAAAAAACCCTAGGTAAAGAAAGTTTGAGAAGAAGAAAGTTTGAAATTTAAGGTAGACAAGGTATTATTTTTTCTTATTTTTTTATGTAAACTAAAATATTTTTTGCTTGAATAATTGGATGTAATGAAAAATGATGAATTATTTTTATTAAAGTTTGTTATTTATTTATTTTGGTAGTTTGATAATTAATTATTAATTCTTATATATTTTATGAAAATGTATTTCAATTTTTAAAAGATAAAATGGTGTATTTCAATTTTTAAACAAATATGAGAATTAATATTTAAATTGTTGTCTATTTAACAATTAAAAAAATATATATAAATTTGAAAATTTTCAAATAATTCGAACATTTCGATTCGAACAATTCGAACAAAAACGAACCGAACACGAACAGACTCTTCACGAACAATTTCGAACACGAGTCTATTTCAAACAAACTATATTTCAAATGAACCGAACACGAACATGAGCACTGTTCGTTGTGTTCGGTTCGTTTACACTCCTACTTCTTTACATGTAAAAAAAATTACACACTTATGAATTGGCCTAATCTTTCTTTAAAATAAATAAAATCCCTAATCGTTTCAGCCTCTAATCGAACAAACCCAATCTCTATTAGAGATCGCAACCCATGACTGCCGGGCGCTCCAGCCAACCCTTAGTGCAGCCTGCCGACCGGCGTAGGCGCCTTCATCCTCTTCTCTTTTGCGTGAATCGCGTGATCTCCCGAGCTCTCCCACCCTCTCGACTCGATACAAAGAGAGGAGAAGTCTCGGACATCGCACCCTTATCTCGTTTCCTCTCCTCCTTACTCATCCCAGTAGTCGCCGAGCTCTAGCGGTAGAATGACCATCCCCCTCTTCTAATGCCCTAGCCGCTGATCCTTTGCTCGTCTCCTACGTTGCTGCCAAACTCTTTGGCAGACGGTTGTCTCCATCTCGTTCCTCAATCAGAAATATTTCTTCATAGGTGAGTGGTGACTCTGCCTACTCTCATTATTCTTTCAAACTTTTATGGTTCTGTTTTCGTTATTCTAGTTGACAAGAAGACTCAATTTCTGTTTAATTTTATTGTAGATTAAGTAGCATTACCACCAAATGCTTAGATTTCAGAAAGGGTTTTATAGATTTAGAAAAACAAAAATTATGAACTTATTCTTGATGATAGATTTACTATAGCTTGGTTTCAAAGTAAACTATAGCATATAATTTAAATAATGACTATTGATGCATTTGTGTTGGTTTATGTAATTCTTTGTTAATGATGCCATCTTTATTATTTTTAATTTATTATGTAAATTTGTAAATCATGCATTTGTTTTATTTGTATTGTTATACACGTCATGGAATGTTTTTTAATGTTCATGATGAAATAATTAACTGCGTAAATATATCTATTTTGATTGATTATTTCACAGGTTCTTATACACTCAATTATATATCCTACATGTTACCTCAAATTTAATATAATAAATTTAATTTATATAATTCATGCTTTGATAATAAATAATAATTGTCATGTTTATGATAATTCTTTTGATAACTGCATGTTAGTAATATATGGAGTATGTGTGTTATTATAATGGGTTTTTTATATTGCCAACCATGCATTCAAAACATTCAATATAACATATTAACCGATTAAACTTTAAATATAACATTTTAATCACCTAAAATATTCACTCAAAGCCTTCACTGGTGGCTAAAATAGGGTTGTTGAAATGTAAAGTAGTTAAAATGTTCCGTTATATTCAATTTTTTGGTGGTTGGTATGTAAAAATTTCTATTATAATAGAGCTTATATCTATATGCTGCTCATTCAATGGCTAAAACAAAAAAGGAAGATACTCTTCTTCTCGTCTTCTTCTCTGCCACTATATTCTCTTTTCCATCTCTTTCTCTTCGTCTCCACCACTACATTCTCTTCTTCCTCTTCTTATTGTTGTGAAAAAACGACGGCAATAAAGCGAAAAATGAAACGAGAAAAATTGTACGCATAAAAAACACCAGAGCGACACACAAATTTACATGGTTCGGCAAAATTGCATACGTCCACGAAGCTGCAGAGAATTTTATTACTTCGAGGAATTACACCGTCGAACGCCTCGACTTTTACAAGAAAATCTCTATTTTCTTCTCTCCCTTCCTCTCTCTCTCTCTCTTCCTCTCTTTCTCTTAGCTCTCAAGATGACTTGGTTTGGTCTTGCTTGGCTTGCTTGTTTATGATTAGCCATAAGAGGCTATTTATACAAACTAGGAGAGCGGTAGAGGTAGGTGAGCGGTAGTTGGGTGTGATAGGTGAGCGGTAGGTGGGTGTGATAGGTGAGTGGTATGTGAGATTCTTAATTAAGAAACTAATTAATGGATCGGGTCTCCACATTACCCAGCAATTCTTCCACTTGGAAACTGAGACACTGAATGCATCATCTACTCGCTGCATCATCTACTAGCTATACCGACCTTTTTCTCAAACATGATATCCTCCACCTCTGCAACTCGAAGCACTGGTTTTTATGCCAGAAGACTAGCTGAAGTCGAGCACAACTTTAACTTCTCCCATGTAACACCCTCAGTTGACATATCACCGTCAACGTAGCCTAGTATCACCAAGCTTTTTCCTGAGTTACTCTTGTATCTGCTTACAACTGCCACTGCATGAGCAATATTCTGCCCCTGCCCCTGCTGAAAGCCCTTTTCAACAAGTCCAGCCATTTTCAAGAAGTCTAGCCGTGTACCTCTTACTGCCATCAAGCGCAGTCTTCACCCGGTACACCCACTTGTTGTGCAATGTTTTCTTCCTTGGTGGAAGTTCTGTAGCTCCCAAGTCCGATTCCATGACAGGGAACCTGTTTCCTCCTTCTTGGTCATCTCCCACTTGCTTGAATTCTCATCTTGCAAGAACAGGGAACCTGTTTCCTCCTTCTTGGTCATCTCCCATTTGCTTGAATTCTCATCTTGCAAGAATTCTTCAAAATTCTGTGGTTCTCCATCATTTGTCTGTTCAAAGTCCGGTTTTCCTTCCTTTGGCGCTCTACCACTTTTCAGGAAATGGACCTTCTTCTGCTTCCCCATAATGCACCTCTGACTCATGTGTCCACGCCTGAGTAAAAATGTAGTTATATATAGTGTGTCAGTTTTCTTACCCCGAGCCATTACTAATGCTCATTTGGTAACCATCCACGTGCTGTCTGAGAACGCCACTGAATGACCACCCTCAAGCAAGCTGCCCAACAG